CTAGATCACCGTATACATGGTTTCAGGGTGCGTTTGTGAGGCGTTGCGTTCATAAATGTGGGTCAGCCAACCACAGCGGAAAGCGCCGCTATGTTCATGCCCGTGGCAGGTGTGAAGTGTGAGCCGGTGAAGCAGCATCAGGGCTTCATTCCACGAACAGCAAACGCGAACTAGTACAATCACTCCTAGTTCCGCCACTTAGCCGCATTCTGCGCACCACAAGGGCGCGTCTCAGGAGGCAAGGTTTCCTACAATGTTTCCAGAGGGGCTATAGGGTCCCTGTATGGGGACTATACGATCATGCACTGCAAAAGCCTTCTCGAGGTTTAGCAGTATAATTAGGTGTTCAGAAGGCTTGGAGTTCTGGGGGTTTGGGTGTACCGCAGTTGGAATCAGTTCAAGACAGGTCTTACGACGGAGGGCCTTGCTTGAAGTTACAGGGTCTCAGGGCCTTAGGCAGGGTTTTGGCCCGGTCTTTCCACGGCCTGGCGTTGCTGTTCAAAGGTTCCCGTTCTGGTTCTGGTGTCGGAGTGCAGCGGTCAGACTTGATGGTGCTGCGCTTCGGTTTAGGCTGAAGGCAAAGCTAATAGCAGAACGACAGCTCGGTTTGAAGGGTTTCCTTTATTGGTTGCGGATCTGAAAAAATCAGCGCGATCATGACGACTCGCAGGTCCTTATTCTAAGTGCTCCTCGTACTTGCGCGGAATTAAGATCCTTCTACTGGGGTCGTGGGCGAGGGGTTCTGGGGCGATCAATGCGCATTTGGATGCTTTGGGAGAGATCGATAAAGGCCCATGTGAATGAGGCTCGTTCACCCCAGACTGTACCGCCTCAAACCTCCAACGCAAGAAGTTCCACGCCCTAGAACGTTTCGAAGGTCGAGATTCGACGACCTTCGTGTTCAATGGAGATTTCGTTGTCCTGTTCTCAGCGGCCCTAGGACTCAGTACAAGCAGCAACACGCCGCAGCTTACATCTTTTGGGCTGTATAGCTGCTGCTGTTGGGAGCAATGGTTGTCGAAGGGTCCGGTTGATGGCGTTGTGCTTGGACGTGTTGTACTGGATTACTGTTGCAACCAGCGCCCCATGACAGTCCCTTCTGTTGTGTCACATGTGCAGTTTCAAGTTTAGGAGAAGATGCTTTAGCTGAGGGTTCGAGCCGAGAAGCTTTAGAGGTGCGAATGCCAATTTCAAGTGCTAAGCAAGAAGTAATAAAAGAGCAATACCAGCAATAATCGTACCTTGACCAGGTACTAAAGCTTTAAGTACTTCTAGTGCTACAATTAATTGCTTGGTACCATGTCGACCCAGAGAGCTGACCCGATGGAGGCATCCGGTCTGATTCGGAATGAAGGCTATTGTGGCTTCAGAAGCCAACATGTGGACACCAACCTGGGTCCAAGTTTTCCCATATTCAATCCCGGGAGTGCTTGACCATAAATTCGATCCATCTTCTTCAACCCGAAGTGGCTGACCTGTGCTGCGGGGGAAGGGGCGCCGTGGCAAAAGAGCTGAAGAAACATAGACCGTAAAGGGCACGATCCCCAGCATCAGGGCCTCCGAGCCTCGAAGCCATAAATCCTCACGTTCGCAAGAACCCCATGGCAAGGACCTTTTTAAGGAAATCCATGGTTCTTGCAACTCATGTGTCAGTTGACTCAGATTCTCTTGAGCTCACGGGTTTTTGGCTTTGGGTCCTAGAGTTTAGGTGTAGGTTAAGGATGACGGAAAAAGTGGACAAAGTTGTTCTTGGAGGCGACGCAAGTCCAAACTCTAGGTCTCTACGGAGACCTGTAAGTCCCTGACCTTGCAAAAGCCATAGAATGCTTCAGCTGTAGCCCTTTTACTTGCCGACCCGCACCTGCAATCCATACTCTCACCTCCCAGACCTTTGAATCCGAGTCCCTACTCCGTGACCGTTCAGCTTTTGCCTTAAGCCCGACCCCGACAGACCTGTGGCCTAGAGACCCTCCCGCACTTCCCGAGGACAGAGGGCAACATCAGCTTGAAACCATAGGCGCTGCAAAGGGCTTGCAAGTTAGGGGTGTGAGAGTTTCGGAGTTGGGCTTATGGATGTGGGCTCGAGGCCTAGGTTCACAGGGCTTGAAGGATCGTGCCTGCTCTAGCACGCACGTCCAAGCTCAAAAGGCATCGACTACTTGATATAGGTTTTGTACTAGGGCTGTGTTGAGTGTACAGAGATTGAAAGATCTTTAGTCTTGGGAAGCTCGCGACAATTACCCAGACAGCAGCAGTGCCGCAAAAGGAGCACTTTACTCGGATACCTTCTGATTTCGGGCTTTCGGGTTGAGGGATTTCTTGTCCAGGATTTGAGGGCTTCAGGCCCAACACGAGCATGGAGGGACAGTTTTCTGAAAAAACGAAAGGCCCAAAACTTGCAACCTCCCAAACTCTAGACCTCATGCCCTCATAGACCTAAAGACCCTCACCAAGCACTACACTGAACCTGTAAACAGCTGAAATTTCTTAACAGCAATCTTTCTCTGACCCCTTGCAAAACAACAATGCACACTGTACGCCGAGGCACGAATGCAAGACAGTCTAAGCAATATGCCTCTGCGGTGAAGAGAAGCCCTCAACACTGAGACCCCTCAACCCTGAAGCGTGTCAGTATATTATTGTAGCAGCATCACAACATCAACAAGCACAGGGACCTATTACAGCAATAGTGATATCAATGAACACGATATCCGCAATCGTACCAGTAACCAGCAACAAAAACGACCTCATGGTAGTCTTTCGCAGTTATTGACTGGAGCAGTTACATGGTTTCCCCTGCCCCCTTAAGTTTCGTGAGCGTTTGGAGCCAGGCCTACTCCTGGCCCTGAAGGCCCAGTCTCGATAATTGTCCGTTTTGCGTAATGTCCTTGCTTGGGAGTTGCTTAGGGCTTTCGGATTTGGGACTTGGGGTCTGTGGCACTTGGAGTGTGCAAGGCATTCGTGGTAAGGGATTGACTCTCGGCTTCCGGTGTTGACATCGGTCCCCCTTTGGTTTGTGTCCTCCGAGAACTCTTTGCGCTCTTGACGTTTCCAGTTGTCGGGCAGCTACTGCCGACTATCTGGCCCACGGTATTCAAATTTTGCCGCAGTTACCCCGTAGGTTCAACACTGGAGATCCATTGCACCCAAAGATACCCGAAAGCGCAAAGCCGTATCACCTCAAGCTGTCATCCTTGCCTTTCCTCTCAACATGGACAGCGTTTCGGTTTGTGGGCCCTTCGTACAGCGTGGGCCGCACTGATTCGTCTGTAAACTCAACATGACGAGAAAGGATCCTAGTGTTGAAATGAGCCCAGCTACTACAAGCCCTCGGCCTGGGACCCAAAATGGCTTTCTGGAGAAAAGTCCGCAGTACAGGGCTTTCACACATCACAATACCCACACACAGGCACTGCAGCAAGGCTTGTGATGGAGCGGGCTACAAGTACCCTTCTCATTGCTGAGCCCGAGTCCTTAAAAGCACCATAGCTCGAAAAGCCCCGCACTTAAAGAGGCATGTCAAGAGCTCTACAGCCCAAGCTGTAATAACCCAATCTCAAGAAACTCCCAACAGCGAGCCTTTGCCAGGTTTTGCACCCCGAGAAGGTCTACCTCATAAGGCCGGCTGGCATGTTCTTACCACTGACGCTAGTGCATTTCTTATACCGTGTTTGCCCAATATAACAGTTTGCTTGAGTAGCCCGACCCATCGTCCTGGTATGCGCTCACTCGTGTTACACATGCTGATGTTAATGCAGTACCAGATCTTTTTGTATGGCTGGCACATTGAGCATAACACACACACGCACACATACAGACACACACACGCACACATACAGACACACACACACACACACAAACACACACACACACACACAAACACACACACACACACACACACACACACTGTCAGTGTTCATGTATGGTCTCTTGGGCATCATGACCTTCTCTCTCCGCTTGCGGGTGCTGCTGCTGTTGCTGCCGCTACAAGTTCTTCCCTTGAAACTACAACGACCACGACGACGACAATCGCTGCTCCTGCTCCTGCTGCCGCGGCGACTGCCGTGACTGGCGGTACTGCTACTACTGCTACTGCCACTGCTACTACTACTCCTACTCCCACTCCCACTCCGCTCCTTCTCCTGCTCCTGCTCCTGCTCCTGCTTCTGCTGCTGGTCCTTATAGCTAGTGCTACTTGATAAGCAGTTGTTATGTTGTTTTTGGAACCACCCACAAAACTACAAAACTACGCATAAGCAGCGCACACGCAAGTAAATCTCTTGGCAGCATCACTTGTGGACTCCAATTCCAAGTGTTGCTTGACCGGTTGACATCTGTGCAGGATGCATGAGGGTCTTCGCAAAGGCCTACACCCTCAAGCCCTGCTTGTTATCGAAGCTGTAGCCTAGCAAACGCTGTCTAAAAGCCCCGCCGCAGGGGGAATCACGAGGATCGGCTGATGAACGAGAAGTACGGCTTCAAGCGTTCGGGCACCCAGGGTTCCCAAGTGGAGCTTACTGGGAACAAAGATCTTTGCTAGCATGCCGCGTTTCTTCTAAGCAGCTCTTACGTATTGGCAGTACACTGAGGGTTGCGAGCTATTTCTGTTAATTAAGCAGTTTTACAGGCTGGGCTCTTTGCTCTAGAGGGTTCCTCCGCAAAATGAATCTAGATGCCTCCGAACCTGTCCTTGACAGGGACCCAGTAGTAGCACGGGCCATGTTCTACTACATATCAGAAGATCCTCCCAGAGGTCTGGGTAGGGATCAGGGTAGGCACCAACATTGTGCAGTGGATGCGCAGCAGGATTCCTTGCCTTCAGCTCCAAGCCACCGGACGAATAGCTGGCTTCTCTTTGCAAATGTAGCGGCCTTCACATTCTGAAAACCGGATGCACCCTGAAGTTTCTCGACCTCGGCCAGCTGCCGAGCCGAATGTTGCAGGGTTTGCCGTCCGTTTGTTTTGCCCGGCTGCTTTTGCGTCGCCGCCCAGATGAATGCATGGTCAAACTGGGCCCCGACTTTGGCAAGAAGATGCGGCTGGGTATGTTTGGCAGTTGGGTTGAGGCTTCAGGGCGTTGGGTTCGTTTGTCTGCGGAGCTTCGGGGTGTGGGCGGCAATTGTACCGGTGTAGAGCAAGCCACACTGGCAATGTGAAGGCTGATTCAGTTTTTAGTTGGGTCAAGACTCAAGAGACCTGTCACCCACGCCTCACATCCTCAGCCCCCCTAGCATTGCCCTAAACTCTGAGCCCCCGACCCCAGAACGTTTATGAACTCAAACAGCCACTTCTGGGTAATGACATGTTTCAGAGTGTTTTGCTCTCGGGAGCGAAGCCTACATGGAAAGATCAGAAGCGCTTCGAGTCTTCCGGGTTGTGATGCAGTTTTGCTCTTTCGGGAGTTTACTGCGGTGTGTAGCGATGCTGGAACTCCAAGTTGGGGCGTCGGGTTTAACTGGTGTCTAGCATTGTGTGTATGTGTGTATCTGTCTCTGTCTACGGCTACGCTTCTTGTCCTTCAGTTGCCACGGATTCGGAGTTCAATTGAACAGGTTTCCGTGTTTGGGGATTTAAAGTTTAGCAGTACCCCTACTTGTGACCCTCGTGATTTCCTCTTGTGCATGAAGTTGGAATTCCCAAGTCGTGAGTCTATGCAGTTGATGAGGCCAACGGCCTCACCGCACTACAATCACTACAACCCTAAGCCCCCAAACAATAACTTCTGAAAACCCTAACTCCTGAAGCCCTAAACCCAGAACCATAAACCCTTAAAGGTTTCCGGTGTCAGGCTCTCGGGTCTGCTGGCCCTGTTCGTAAGAGTCGTCAGAGCAGGAACAACAGCAAAGACGAGTGCCCTTGCCGATCCTCTCCCTCGAGCCCAAGTCCCTGAAGTCTTGAAGCCAAGGTTTGACCTGATGCAGAGTGCCTTTGACCGACTGCCGGAGACCCTGCGACTTTTGTGAGGAGAGTTTGCGGTAGACGGCACTGCTTCCACAGCTGTGGGGAGTCTGCGATCTGATTTCACTTGGAGTCCTTCAAATCCCGATACACTGCGCTTTTGACCGAAATGTATCGGGGTTCTGTGTTGACCGACCTATTCCCGGTTCTAAAGACCAACAGGTGGTGGCCGGGGGGGGGGTTAATGAACGACATCAGGAGATTTAGGTCAGTCAGATTGTAGTAGGAGTAGTAGTTTCAGGTGTCGTTAGCAGAGGCCGTCGCGCTAGCAGCAGTAGCAGCAGCTGCAAGCTGGATCTTCCTAAGCCGCTTTGATCTCACAAAAAGCATGAGGTCATACGGTGGGCTCCTATAGTCGTCAACTGTCTTCATTAGCCGAGTGTTTGGCCTAGCACAATGCCAACTACCATAGCCTCAAAGCCCCCAAACCGGGAATCAACAAACGTAGCCGCTTCACTCTAGCCGCTAAACCCTGGATCGTCCACGGTGCCGACTTCTGCACATAACCCTGAACCATAAACAATACGGGCATTAGCCTGCAGACGGCGCCAAACCCCATACTTTCCAGCGGATGTATCATGCAGATCTTTTCGGGCTTAGGATTGAGGACTTGGCTTGAATCTCGGAACCCTCAACATCCTGGTCTCTGTATGTTCAATAGCCTGGATCCCAAATCCAGGTTGCATGCATAGACACAACATATACGTGCTCATTCACATACAGATGTCTTCTGACGTGACAAGAGAAACTGTTGTATGTTTCGTTCTTTACTGTATGACCTATGTATTCTCTCAACCACATTGCACACGCACACACATATGTGTCGTCTGGGCTTGCCCTGAACCCCAACTTCCTTGCGAGGCCCCTGGCGTGTCTCATCGCCAACAGGGCGCTGGTGTTGCACGGAGGCATAGGTGCGCCCTCTGACATTTTGTTGGTGGAGGCTCCAGAGTGCTTCACGGTGCATGTTCTTCCTTCACTCGCTTGGGCTGGGTTTGGAAGTATGGGCGTGGGGTTTGCAAATCCTCAGGTATGCCGGATCGGATCCCCAGACCCACGAACTGGAACAACATTGCTGAAGCTGCAAGTTGGTAACTCCTGACGACTTGATGAGTATAATACGCGGCACGTGACCTGCACACAACATTTCTGAACGATTGAGCAGGTGCAGATATGTTCAATACGCTTGCTTCCCTTCCCCCGCATTGGCACACGTGGAAGTCCGCGCTAGATAAAAAAATCGCCATGGGCCCACGGACGACCATGAGCAATCCTGCGCCGATCAAGAGCCGCTTAAGGCTTAAGAGTAGAGAGTTTCCGGAAATAGGGGACCCCAATATAGTACCCTAAATAGTAGGAACGCCATTATCAGGACCCCTAAATAAGCTACCTTCATTTTGGGAAACTCCCAGTAGGACAAGCGGCAGAGACCCCAAGTTCCGCTCCTGATTGCACAGGTGATGGGATGTGGGGCCTCAGCGACATCTGGAATGTGGCGAGGCACTTCGGCTCGTTTGGCTAAGAGCTTCTTACAGTGCCCGGCTCAGTGGCTTCTTCTGTTCATCTTGACAGATTTGTGTTTACTGTAGCTGTTGTTGAGAATTCAGATCACTGAGATAGGAGCTGGAGCTTCCCGCCTGGGCAGTGCGAGAGCTCCATGGAGGGGTTCGGCAATACCCTTCCCCGATAGGTCCAGGTAAGGGTACCCGGGACCCGGGAGTTTTCCGAAGCTCTGGGAGGCCTCTTCCTTCCGAGAGGATCCTCTCGAAGGCCGGCCTAGGTCATGGGTTGATAGGCTTCATACTGCTACTCTGCAGCTGTTCTCTCTGTACGGTTTCTACATAGGGTGTGTTTAGGGGTTCTGAAAGGGATTTACAAGTCATAGCGGGATCTGTCAGGGTTCTGCAGGCTTCCATAAGTGTTCACTGGGTTCTGCCAGGGTTCCAGATTCCAGAAGAGCTGTGCGAGCAACGAGATCAGGGTGCGATGTTCGTCGTTGCCGTTCTTTTGAAGCGTAGGTCAGTTTAGGTGCTTTAGGGTTTTGTGGCAGGTTTAGGGGTGAGAGCTGTCGCGTTTTGGGTCAAGAGCTTCAGGGTTATCCTTTTCGGGGTTCAGGGCTCAAAGCTTTTGGGTTTGAGGGTTTAGGGCTCGTGTATTGTTTCGGTGCTTCGGGTGACGTGCTTGGGTTTTGGACGGTTTTGCTGGTCTGGGGATTGGGGTTTTGGCGCCTGAGGCTCTGGCTGTAGGGGTGTTCAATTTTTCAGGATCTCGGGCCTGTATGCAGCTGAGTCTACTGCAAGAGTGGGAAGCAGCCCCTGCTTCGCGGCGCCCAGTCGGACTTACCCTGAGCTAGTTGCAGTGAAGACCTGGTTTGTGACCCCGAGCCTTGAACCTGAGTCCCTAAACCCGAGAAGCCAACACCCGCACCCAAGACTATGATACATCCAAGCACCAAGCCCTATACAAAAGGGCTTGTGTTTGGAACCCCTAAATGGAATTGTTCCACAGTCCTGCAACACTGCAAGACTTTCTTCTGCAGCTCAATGCATTGGTGTTGTCTGGCATCTATCTCTCTTTCTTTGCTCTCTCTCTCTCTCTCTCCCGCTCTCTCCCCTTCTCAATCTCTCTCGTTCGCCCTCTCTCTCTCTCTCTCCCCCTCTCTTCGCCCTCTCTCTCTCTCTCTCTCTCTCTCTCTCTCTCTCTCCCTCGCGCTCTCCCTCTCTCTCTCCCTCCCTCCCTCCCTCCCTCCCTCTATCTCTGAATCTCTCGTTCTCTCCCTCGCTCTCTCTTGCTGTACCTCTGTCTATGGACGCTGTGAAACCCCAGCCAGCGGAAACTCTGTTTAGACATGTCATGTGCCGATGGAGTTCCTCATGGTTCGAGTACAAATGTTGGAGCTGTGTGGGTGGTGCCTCAGGCTTGGGTTTCGTAGCTTGCCTCAGTAGTGACCCAAGCTGGCACTTGCTTGATTTCTTGCATCCTGCGACAGGAAAACAGCTGGTGCTTCCGACCTGTTTCTGTTTCTGCCCCGACAACTAGCGCCGAAATGCCCTGACCCTAAAATCTCTGCGCTGAACCCTTGAACCCCATAGCTCGTGCGGCTTCTAACTTGTATTCTACCAGGTCAGGGCGTCTTTTGATTTGAGCTCTATGTTGCAATTTGTTGTGTTTTGCTGTTGGCTTCGGGAGGGTCGTTCTGGAAAGCCTACAGACAGTGCTTGGTTTCTTTCCAACCTACTTTCGTTGAAGTTCCCAAGACAGCATCCCGGCATCCCGTTATTCCTCACAACGGAACATTGGGGCCTCAAGAACTATCAACTTTAACAGTATGCCCTGTAGTTGGTCGACATTGTCTCAAGATCTACGGAACCTGGGACGAAACCCTGAACGGACCAATCAGCCAGGCTTTTCAACATTTTGTGGTCAGATCCGATTGAAGACGGGGCCAAAGCAGACCCGAACACTTTCGGCCCGGCCCCCATCTTGCAGTAGGCTCCAGATCAAAGATGGAGCGCGCCATAGCAGTTTTGCATTGAGGGCTGGTTGGTGCTCGCTGATGAGCTTGTAGTTCAGTAGCGGTTTCATGATGCATTAGAGGTCTTTGATGCATTTGAGTACGACGTCACAGTATTGTGATACCACCATTAAAAAGAGGAGGGCTGTCCTTTCTTTCACGCTTTACGGCATGGAAGGATGCCAGACTTCACCAGGTTTTCAGTGTCTCATGCTGGTTGTCTTTTTGTCGTTGAATGTTTGAGTTCCGCTTGACAGGGGCTTTAGTGGGTTCGTGTTCATGGATCCATGGAGTTGTTCAGGAAGGTGCTGACTATTGGTGAGTTTCTCAGGCTTCATTGGCTGAGCTGCATCGAGTCTGTTCCCATGTCCGGTGACAGGGACGTTATGACGCGATGACGCTTCAGGGAGCTGAATGTGCAGATTGGGGTTGAAGCCCTCTTCTCCATTGCCTGGGTATCACGGTGTTCGACTTTCAGGTAGCTGAGAAAGCTTTCCTGGCACAGCCAACCGGCATTCATTGCCTTCTATCTCATTCTCTCTCTCTCTCTCTCTCTCTCTCTCTCTCTCCCTCTCTCTCCCCTTCTCAATCTCTCTCGTTCGCCCTCTCTCTCTCTCTCTCTTTGTCTGTCTCTCTCTCTCTCTCTCTCTCTTTGATTGTTTTGTTCTCTCGCTCTCTCTATCTCTCTCCCACACACACATCAGTTTACATCTATGTGTATATATATATATATATATATGGACACACCCCCCCCCATGACCTACCTCGGCCTCTTTTCCATTGTAAATACCGTCAAAACCTTCTCTTGGCAGGGATTCGCGTTTGGCATACGATTCGTGTTTTGCGTAATTTTCGGGGATGATACCTTCTCTATCATGGCTGATGTGAAGTCATGTCTCTTTACAACGTCGTGCCTACTCATGTCCGCTTTCAAATTCATATGCCTGTATTCATAAGCAAGAAACATTAAAAGAAACCATACGATACGACGGCGGAAACCAAAAAACCAAAAATCCAAAAATCCAAAGCCTTTCTGAGGGGCCCGAAACTTTTGGATTTTTTGGTTTTCCTAGGTCTTTTTTGGTTTTTTGGGCTTTGCCTTGGCGAAACCATGGCTTTTTTTGGATTTTCGGTGGAAAACCAAAAAAACACAAGGTTTTTTTGGTTTTTCTGCTGTGTCTCTCGTGAAAAACCAAAAAACACCTGTGTTTTTTTGGATTTCTGCTGGAAAACCAAAAAAAACCTTGGATTTTTTTGGATTTCTGCTGGAAAACCAAAAAAACCTTGGATTTTTTTGGTTTTCTGTTGGAAAACCAAAAAAACCCTAGGAAAACCAAAAAATCCAAAAGTTTCGACCCCCCTGACAAAGGTTTTGGATTTTTGGTTTTTTGGTTTTTTGGATTTTTGGTTCTCGGAGCCTTAGAGCCAATACAGCGCGCAGCATGCTTGATCGGAAATGGTTTCGTTGTTTACGCGCAGTAGTCTTCAGATGTGCATTAGGCATTAGTGTTAGTATTAGTATCTGCGTTCTAGCGTGTTGATTCGTGTTACTGTTAGTGTTGGTGTCAGTGTCAATGTCAATTCCAATGTCAGCGTTAGTATTAGTCTGAATATAAGTCTATACAATAGGTGTACTAATGGTAGTGTTAATGTCTAGTGTGAGTTTTAGTATTCGTATTAGTCTTGGTCTTAGTCTCTGCCTTATTCTTAGTGTTAATATTAACCAGTGTATAGTCTCATAGTCTATGGTAACATTGGAATAGTAGTATACGAGTATATTATTTATTGGTATGTGAAAATACAGATTCTTTGGTACATTGATGTGTCTGTTTTTTGTATTTGGTTTGAACGTGATTATTAGTATTCGTAGGAGCATTAATATTGGTATCAATAGCAGTATCGCTGTTCATACTATGCATAATCGTATTATCTGGAGTATCAAGTGGTAATACTGCTATTCATGTTAGTGTAGGTTTTTTAATGTGAATATAAATACTGAGAATAATTAATAAGACTATGCGCATTAATCTGCGGAGGAACTGTATCACTTATGTGCATATTAGTATTAATGTTGGCATTTGCGTGTAGATTGGTAACAAATAAAAAATAAAAATACTATCAATATGGGTATGTTTTGTATTACTGAAAGTACCCGTATTCGTAAAAGTATTTGTAATCATACTAATTCATATCAGTACGAGTATTAAGATGAATTATGATGCGCATATGAATACTTTCGAAGGAAATGCTGACCTTAATACGAATACCCATATTAATGTCCTATTATGTATAATCGCAGTAGCCTGAGTATTGGTATGAATATTCGGACAAGTATTAGTATTCCAAACAACTAGTACTATTAGTATTCATATTGAGAACAGTTAATAAGAATATGCGTATTAGTATCCCCAGGAGTGTTAATATTCCCATCAGCACTACTATTCGAATTAGTAGTGCAATTTTTAATACTAGTATTAACCATTAAGCCTATTATGTTATGAACAGTAATATCCTTATTCGTAGGAATAGAAATCTTAGTATCAGTATTAGTATTCGCACTAGTAATAGCTATTATACACATTGGCGCATGAGTAACCTAAGAGCTTCACACAGAATAAACATGTGTGCACATGTAACCCTCATTACGATCCTAGGTAGGATGCACACATCGTTCTGTTTTGGTCCCGTCTTTGGGTTATGCCTATGAGTACATGAACAAAATTAAAAACAGACAATGACAAACACAAAGTTACCCGGCGCATCTAACGATCTTACGTAGGATGTAGACACTGTTCTGTCTTGGTCCTGTCTTCGGGTTATGCCTATGGTCATTATATGACCAGAGTTATGAATATCCGGAACATTTAGGCAGTATCCTATTAAACAATTGCAGGCATTGAAGCTTGCCCAAATCCGCCAACGGCGATGTCGCGCCGTCGTAGGTCATTACAGTGTATTCAGCTATTGATTATACACGATATACGTTTCCATTGTTTATGTATGAGTGTATTTTATCCTAATGGTTTCCTCAAATCCTTACATGTTCTACTACCCATTGCTAGCCGAAGCACCTCGCGGTAGGTCTTGGGGGGGGGTGTGAGCATATATATATATATATATATTATTTTTTAATATAAATATATATATATATATATATATATTATTATGTATGTATGTGGGTGAAAAATTAAATGAATAAATAAATAAATAAATAAATATATATATATATACATACATACATATTCGTATGCATGTATGTATGCATGTATGTATGCGTGCATGGGTTATACAGGCATGCATGTGCATCTGTGATCGTGCATGTATCTGTACGTATCTATGTTGCACAGTACGTGTGTGTACACAATATGTACATACATACATACTTACATACACACACATATATATATATATATACATATGTGTGTGTATAGGCAAATAGGTATATACATGCCGATAGGAACTTTTGATGGGGTTTCTTAGGCCCTGCCACACCAGCTGCTTCATCCCCAAAGCGCCGTGCCTGAAGGTGTGCATCCATCTCCCCGCGGCGGCATTACCGCCCAATTTGCCGCGAGCTCTGGTGCTAAACATCGCGCGATGTTTCCGCAAAATTTTACTTGCATACCACTAACTCATGATACTTTCAGTCCCATATCGTGATAATATGCTCCGCAAACCTATTCTAGTCACCGAGGCCCGATATTTCAAAGCTTTAAGCCTATATACAGCAATTGGGTCTTGCACCTCCATTACACCCAAGCCATGCAAAGCCGAAGCCCCAAACAATCCTACCGGGAGAAAGCAAGCCACCCCATACATGGGAACCGGACCTTAGATGGGTCTTGTGCAATCCTGTTTGCTTTCCCGTTAGTGCCTAGGGTTGGGGGTACCGTTGTAGCCAAAGCTTCCCGAGACCCACTCTGAAGTTTAGGCTTCAATTACATACCTAGAGGCTCCATAGTAGTTCCTTTTTGGGGGGTCCTATTTAGAATCCTATAAGGTAATCCCAAAAAGGAACTACTATGGAGCCTATGGGTAGATACAGATTCTCGAAGCTGCCCAAGGCGTGGAACATCACGAAGACATTCTGTGCCAGAAACGGCCGGAACGGGGGATAAGGGACAGGGCTGGGGCTACTAGTAGGGCCAAGAGATTACAATTTGGGGTAAAAGACATGTAAGGCCCGCTGAGGTTAAGGGCATAGGGCTTACAGTTTAAGGTTTAGGACCTGCCGGGCCGGCACGGAAAAGCAGTCGGATGGCCTTCCTCGTAACACCGCAGCAAGAAGCACGTCCTTTTTACCTTCAGCCCTGAACTCTTAGATCCCAGGCCCTCAACCCCGTACCCTTAACAGCCAGAACGGTCTCGTTTGCTCTATGCTCTCTCTCTCTCTCTCTCTCTCTCTCTCTCTCTCTACCCATATATGTGTACTGTATAGGTATAATTATACACACACCAACAATATACCGTGTGAATATCTACTGTAAAAACCGTTTTGAGTCTTTGGATTGAGCCTTACATCCCGCAGCGTGCTAAACCTCCTCCGACCCTCCGTCAAATCACAGTCCTCAGAGCCTTGAGCGCCAAATCCTCTAGCCTCGAGCTCTTGCAGGTTAAACCCTAAACCCTAGCCGAAACACCCACAAATCCTAAAGCCCCAAACCCTTAGGCTCCACCCGCTAAGCCCTTAAACCGTCAAGCCCCGAGCCGCTTCGCAGGCCTCGGACTCATCATCCGCAGCCACCAGTCCAAAAAGGGAAGCCGCTCCTGGGCTCAATGCGGGGCTTAGGCTGCGGAGGTTAGCGTACCAGGTTTAGGGTCCAGGGGACAGACGGTTTGGTGTTTTAGGGTACAGGATGCAGTACGGAGTCCCCAAAATGGACCCTAGCGTTGGAGAACCCACCCGCATTGATGCTGTTGGTAGTATCACGATAACTGTTGGCAAAGGCTCCTAGTGTACGCAGGGCTTCACAAGCGACGTTGTGGATGATTCACTCTACTGCCCTTGGTAAAAGTCATTGCAATGTAGGGCAGTTTAGGGGGCTCCGAGCTCGGTATAACTTGACCTGTGAGTTGTTTATGTATGAGCCCGACACCCTAAACCCTCAACTGTACTTCGGAACCGCGCATCAGGGACTTCGGACGGGTTTAGTTCGGAGGAGGCTGGGGTCAAGGGGCAATGCATACCGAAATCAAGACGACACAACTGGGACACCTGAGCCGTGCAGATAAAAGCGAGCCCTCAGCTGCAGCCCATTCCCAAGGTGGTTTCGATGTGATGCATAGCAGCATGCTGCAAGCTCAGACCTTCTCCTGAGCGCAGTGTGTTTCTCAAAATCTCCTGGCCTGAAGGAGTGAGGGTCCCGGGGAGCTGAGCTCACATCCTAGAGCTTGAGAGTCATCGTGCGTGGCTATCTCCAAAATCCCTGCTTCCATATTTGGCCGTATTAGGCTCTCGTACTTTCGACCAGTGTCATACATGAAACGCAAGGCCATGGCATGGGGGAGGTAGAGCTGTTGGATGCAGGGGTTTGGTGTTTGGGCTGCTAGGTTTTCAGTCAGGGTCTTGAACCTTAAGTTTTAAGACTCAGCATTTGGGTTGTTTGGGTTTCGAAAGCAGAATCCAACACGTTGGGCCTTTGGGTGTGCAAGGTTTGTCCAGGTTTTAGTCACTTCAACCCGGCACCTTAAACGGAGCGTCGTATCTGACGCATGCAGGTTGATGCGCGTCTTCTCTGCAAGAGACTATGAGGCGGGCCCCGTGCAAGCCCGTAATTCTTTAAGCTCTCAGGACGTGGAATCCTGAGCGGATGCACTCTTTTACAACCCAATTGCTACAGCATCTACCCAATATCCTTAAAATCCAAACCTGTGCGCAGGGTTCCCGGTCGCTTGCCGTTCTTTTGGATGCTTGCAAAGGAATGCAGGAGCCGTGCAGAAGACTTTCGTAAGTTCCCATGAGTCGTCGACATTGCGACTGGAAGGGATCATGAGGGAGGCTTCCATGAGGTAGGCTTCCTCACCTGATTCTCGCATCTTGCGCTGAGCCTATCTCCTGCGCAAATATCATGCAGGGTTTCAAGCTTTTCGGCGTTTATTCCCAAGAAACCTTTCAACGCAGCTGCGGATGTAAAGTGCCCAGGCCTGACGTCGACCCAAATCCTACAGTAGGCCTAGATCCTGGACCCCGAACTCCCCTTTCAAATGTCAAGAATCTTAAGTCGGGCACAGGGACATGGCAACGACGGAGCCGTGCTACTCATCACGAAGGGCAAAGCATCCGAGACCAAGGGCAAGGCATCCGATTCTGGCAATGCCGAAGGCCCTCCGCTTCCATGCTTCAAGGGACGTTAAGCTTATTTAGGACCAGGTTTTATAGTGGCGTAGCGTCGAACTTCTACAGGGTTTCCTGAAGTCTCCTTGTAGGTGTTACCATACAATCCAAACCAATGCATGGATGGTATTTATGTAGCCTAAACCCTGTAACCGTAAGCCCTATATTCGCCGGAAGACCAAATCCGACACTGCAAACACCCTAAAACCCTAATCCCGAGACCGAGGTGCTTCGGGTTTGGCATCCTTGGAGCTGCGATACGCCACAAACTACCCACCCGAAAAGGCCTAGGAGTCAGGTGGACACCCTATCTTTAGATAGATTAGGCACGCAGGCGAGGGAGCAGTCGAGCAGGCAAGCAGGTGGGAGGGTAGGTAGCTAGGTACTAGGTAGGTAGGTATATCTGTATATGTACAAGCTACATTGTACATAGGACGTCTTGCATGCATATGCATATCATATATATATATATAGAGAGAGAGAGAGAGAGAGAGAGAGTTTTTCTGTTTACTTATATTTATATGTGTGTGTATCTCTCTCTCTCTCTCCCCCTCTCTCTCATTCGATGCGATAGAGTCTGGATCAGACACACGCCTAGCAATTGAGTTCAGAGGTGAAATGGGGCTCACGCGCTGGCAATCCTTGCAGTGGAGCTTCCAACCAACGTTATTCCCAAAAACGCATCAAAGCAGAAGGTAAAAAATCCCAATGGCCACATATCACAAGCGGACAGCTGTTCCTCCGGACCCTGTCCCAAACAGAAGGCCATGCATGCCCGCCCATGGGGACCCTCATACATAGTCACAACTCTCAGCACAGTGACTGCGTATATGCAGATTGGGCCATATCGTCAAATTGTACGAAACAAGAATCACGAAACAACCACGACATGTACAAGGCCACGGGATAAAAGAGCGCATACAACACATCATGTATGCGAGATCTTTCATGCTGCTAGGTAGCCTGGGGTCAGCAATCATGACAAGGCTATGTACTCAGTCTTCAATTTCAACCGAAGATGTCGAGGCGGCTCTGGTACGTCATCTCCTCTTTCTGCCGCGGCCGCAATCCCACGACTATGCGACCACGACCTGGTAGATGAAGCTGATCACACAGAAGGCATACACCACGTACATGGGGCTCTTCACCCGCTCGGCCGTGCCACCACCCACGATGAACCAGCTCTTGCATCTTCCTCTGGCACCCGTCCACATCGCACCGTGCCACAGCCGTCATGACGTCCGTGCACGCATACATTCCCCCGCCCAAGAACTCAGAAGTCCGGATGCAGCCATAGGCTGGTTCACCCCAGCCGAAGGCCCACCAGCCAAATGTGCCCACCATAGCATTCACCAAGTTCTGTTGTTTTAAGTTTTGTCACGTCGGATGCGTCCTTCACATAACAGCTGCTGCTGCCGGGCATGACAAGAGAAGCGCAAAGGGAAGCGGAGTCCATGACACCGCACGTGCTGTACTGCGAGTTCTTCAAAGCTGTCACCTCGGCGTTGAAGGTCTCGGTGCTCGCCTTCATGACCAAGCCTGCAAGCGCAATCAATCCAAGATTCGCTGCCTTAATGCTTGGCTGGGTGGTCCCAGGTCGGAATGCCACCTCCAAAGCACGAGCGAGCAAGCAGTCTGGGAGCGGCAGTGAAGCGGAGCCCAGCTTACCTGCGAGCGGAAGATGCCGATCGCTCTGAGGGCAAAGAGAGTGCACGGCGTGCCGCCTTTCCGCTGCTAAGCGGCCATTTGCATGCGGCACTGGGGCTACCGAGATGCCACGAAGTGGGGACTCGAGCCGTAATACACACACACAGATATATATATATATATATATATATATATATATATATATATCTATATATATATATATATCTATATATATATATATATATATATATATATATATATATACGCACGAGCAAACCTTAGCTCTGTCAGATATGTTGTAGGATGGTTTGTTCTCGTGCATAATTAAAAAACAAAAACAAGATAGGCCTGACCTTGAGCATTGCCTCCGATATTCACTACCAGTGATCCAGGAGCCAGCAGACGCAGCCTGAATCCGTGTCCTGTCACCAAGAATCTTGAGCCTTTGACCAATTCTTCTTTCCTCCTACAGCAACGAGGTTTCTCAGGAAGTCTTTGGGTCGTGCCCTCCCCCACTGTTGTGACCGCTGAGAAAGAAGAGTCCACACCTGGCCTCATGCTTTGTCGACCAGCCAGCATGTAGGGTTGGGACTGCACGCGGGCTCTCCGGCAGGCAATGCCGAGGAGTTGCTGATTGTGAGGCCCCAGGTCCTCAGGTCCGTCAAGAAGCAGCGGGTAGAGGCCAACTGTGGGTCTTTCGAGGGCCGTTGTAGGGCCTTTGGGAGTTCAGGATTGGGTTTTTGGATTATCAGCTTGCACCCGAAACGCGAAGCTGTAGGGTACCAGGTTGCGAAGTCTCTTTCGGGCGTTCGGGGGTGTTGTGGATTTCCGGTTTCAAGCTAGCCGTAAGATAGCGTTGAGAGTAGGGGCAAAACCGGGTTCTGGCTTCCGATGCTTTGTGTTATGTTGGGGGATGTGTGATATGAAGGTTACCTGTATCCCAACCGACCTGTTGCTTGAAGGGCTATTTAGGGTTTAGGGGTGTCAGAACAAGAAGCCCTAAACATGCCGGGCCTTTGGAGTTGCACGTGGCTTCGGTGTTCGAGTTCAGGGGTCCACCCTAGTCTCTCAACCCAAACTGCCCCAACAAGCGTCATGGACGATTCAGGAAGTGTTTTCTGTCTCGAGCTGAAGCCAACCTTGTAGCGTATTTGTACCTCAGGCAGTCGTAATACCAGCAAAAGGGGGTTTTGCCAAGGCAAAGAGCGCACACACCCACCATAGTAACATCCTAGTGCCAAAAATTCAAGATCATGAATGATCAGCTACGGTGTTCCAAATGCAATGAGACCGTCAACTGTTCGATGCTCACTGCATGTATTCAACCGTAGGCCCTGTCGGCCAGCAATGGACGAGACCCCAAACTCGTCACATGTCACATCATACAGCTAGGACGTGTAGGAGTAGGGTCCATTTCTCTTGCAGTCTATGCATACCCAGTCTTCCGGCCGTCCTGCTGCCCGTAAGAAAAGTTTAGACTCGCGGTTCAAGTTTCAGTATGTTACCACGAACCTGCTCGAAGCAGCGCGGTTGAGCTCATGAAGGTGCTCCACAGCTAAAGTGCTTTACCGCCTCACCTAATTGGTCCAAGAAACACCGGGACCCTAAACCCTGAATGTAATCCGTATAGATTCCCTCAGAAGAGCTTCAACCCCCTCGGCTTCACGATCTTCAGGCGAGAAAACATGCCAACGAGGGCGACTCGAGCGAGGAGTCCGCGAGGCTCCGGTTTAGGATTGACGAGTTTACAGCTCGGGGGTTGCATCAAGGCTTCGCTGTTTAAGTTACTAGGGCTTAAAGGTTGAGGGGCTTGATGTTTGAGGGTTCCAGGCTTGAAGGATTCGGGTGTTTTGGATTTAATGTGGGATCGTTATGGAGAGCGTATCCCGAAGTAGCAGTAAGGAAAATCAGCGCTGTAAGCAGTTGGCATTCAGTGGAGGCTGACCTCACGCCTCACAGCTCAATACAAACCACGAACAGTGAGTAGGCAACCGTTTTTCCTCTGTGGGAGACGACAAGGGGTGGCAGCCATCTACTGGAAACGTAGCACTTTCTTACCTTTGCAGGTTGTTTTCATCCAGGACCCTTTTGGCTAAAGTAAGCTCGTATGACTAGACTTACTATACATATATGTCTCCCAAGAAAAACCCAATAGTACACACGCAAAGAGAAGTCTTGCTTCTTGGCACAGATGCTCGCAGCAGTTCAGCGGGGCAGCAATGAGTCAGCAGAGTGTTCATAGTCGGGCAGGGCATGTGTTCTATGCCTGACGGCACACGGATAGGTCAAGCATCGGGGTCGTCCCTGTTAATCCATCCCAAAACGCCTCAAAGCTAGGCCCGCCAGAATTCATAGATGGCGCAGGCGTTGTGCTTCAGGGGCCGTTCCCTCTCAGATTTGCATTCTACTTCGGCTGTTCGCCTGTTGCTACATACTCACCGTTTGATTTGTGTTTGCACCACGTTTCAGTTTGGTAGAAATGACTTAACAGGACATAACATTATTAATGTTCAGATAAAGGACCGGGTAGCCTTCAACAGACGTCAAGCTTGGCAAAGCTGGCGGGTTTAGGGGCAAAAGGCTTCAGATGTTCAAGAAGGCGGCCCTAGGCCCTAGACAACCACAAAAAGCAAAATGCCCCACCCCAGCTCAGTGTCCGGCGTTCGGACGTGCAATGTCGGGAGAGTTTAAAGAACTGGTTTCCGCTTTTCTGCCTGAGATGTTGGGTACGAAGTTCAGGGTGTCGGGTTGGCCAGGTCCCGTAGCAGTGCAGCACCCTTTACAAGCTCCTTTCGCCCTTATCCGTATCTAGCTTATCCATATAGCCCTGTGCCAAACTCTGAACCATAATCTCAAGCCTTAAACGCTGACCCCCCAGCTCTGCACTATGAGCGTTAAACCGTCGTGATCGCAGGCCCATGGGTAAGACTTCAAGCGGCAAAGGCGACCAAGGTGCGAGGGGGCTTTGGGCTTTGTGATTATTGTGTTTTGTTTGATGGGGACTTCTTCTGTTATACTTGTACGGAAACTTTCAGTGAATACTGCTTGTAATTTTTGACTCCGGAAATAAGGCTTTTGGTTTAAGTTGTTGATTGTTAACTGCTAGGTCAAGTTGCATAAAGCCCCCAGAAACAACAAGGCTCCGAAGTGCAACCGAAGCACATGAAAACTGGAACTCCTTCAGTTCTTGAGGCCCGAAACCTCCCAAAACCATGAAGCCCAAGCTTCGGGGCTTACGCAGCGCCGAGGGTCATCGTCTGCAGGGTTTCACAAGTCAGGCGGGTCGAAGAAGCAGGGCCCTAGAACCGTGTGTATAGTTGCAGGCCTCCATCCACGGGTTTAGGGTTTAGAGGGTCGGGGTTTTCGCGCTTTGGCGAGTTTATGGTGCACCCATTAATGCGGCCCGACATGACCCGCCTTCCTGACAGAAAGAGATACAGTGCAAATAGACCCCCAAAGTTCTTAGACCTCTACAACCTGCTCTTTACCCTCTACTCCGCTGCCAGGATATTCCAAAAAAGACTCAACCTCACCAAAGGGAGGTGCCAGGGTAAAGATAGGTGTGGGTGAAGGGTTTGGGTCTTTGGGGTCGAGGGCTTTGGGGTGTAAGGGGGCTTGGGACCTTAAGGGCTCTATCGAGAGTACCTCGCACGAGTGGAGGGCAGTTCAGTGCTTGGAGGTTTGTGGCTTAGGGTTTAAGGGATCCAGTCTCGAGTGCGTTTATCTCTCCTTCGTGTTGTCGCGTTTATTTCTGGTATATGTGTGTGTGTATATATATATATATATATATACAGGTGTGTGTGTGTGTGTGTATATATATATATATGTGTGTGTGCGCGTGTGTACACTTCTTTACGTTCGGCTGCGTAGAATGTTGTCAATGCTTCTTTTCGAGAAATGGGCAGATTCCGTGGACCCGGAAATTGAGGCAAAGTTGACGATGAACCCTAAACCGTAAAACCCTAATTTCGGGTTTGGGGTGTTTCGCACGGGAGAGAGCTCGGCCTTCCAAACAGCAGGCAACACTGAACATTTTCTGAACCCTTGACCCCAAACACCCAAACCTTAAGGAGGGCCATGTACTTACCCATAGAGTAACCAAAATAGCAGCTGACAGAGTATATACTTTGCCCAGAAAGTGGTGTCAAACTTTCTACTATCCAGGCCCATGCACCCGTAGGGAAGTCTGCAACATGAAGCCTCCAGTCCAAAGCATCGAGGTCTCACCACCGATCGGATACATGGTGTAGCTAACGCCCAAAGCCGTAAGCCCCCTCAAACCCCTGCTCTATTTCGCAAAACGAAGTTGGGATTACCTTCTTCTTAAGTTTTATATTATAGACCCTGGTCGCACACAAACCAACAGCCTATAGACCCTTAGGCTCCAGATCGCACAGTTCGCCGCAGGTTCGGCGAAGCGCTCAACCACACCCCGAAGCCGCCGACTTACATTGCCATGAGTTTCCACGCGATCCGAAGTTCCTCGAAACCGTACCATCTGGGGAATGGGTTCAGGGTGGCTGGCATGAGCCTAAACTCTGCCGTCACTGAATGAATTTCAGGTACAGGGCTTGGGGTTTAAAGTTCTTGTCAGGATGAAGGGTTTCATCAAGTTTTGTGTGTCATAGCATTTTCCCGTTGTTTTGTCTGCTTCGCGTGTCGTTTCTGTAGCTCTGGAGCACTTTACAACGTCTCATTGGGATGTCCTACAACATCTGGGACCTTTTATTGCAGCAGGTGTTGATTCTACTTGTTCGCATGAATTGTGTAGGGCTGCTTTGCGACTCTGCGACAAACCGGAACTTGCAAAACTCGACAACTCCACCCAGAACCCGCTATGCTATAACCGACGAAAGCACACCGCAAAGAAGGTGGGTGTCTTTGCATTTCGGCGCTTGGATTTCTTCCTGCTTGCAAGATGAGTTCGCGGACCGCTATCCAACCCGAAGCTGAACCCGAAATGAACCCTGCTTCAGCATGTTCACTCTGCTGCATGATGTCGTCTCCATGATTTATCATGTCACGGTTTTCCCAATCACAGAAAGAAATGAATTCCAGCATACCCTACGCCCTACTTCTAGGCTCTGAGCTTCGGTCCTACGCGAGAATGAAGCCGGACTGTCACAATGAAGAGCCCAGCAATCCTGGCGACCTTCCTGCTAAACCCAAAGTAAACCCGAACCTGAAGTCCCGAAGCACCGGACTCACCACGGAGCTGCGCAGACCGTGCCCAGTCCTCATAGGGCAGAGGCCAGAATGCAGGCCTGTCTGACTGTCTACTTGTGTTCGGCCTTTCATTGTTTTGTACATGGGAAAGCTTAGCAGGCTTAGCAAGTTTGAGCAACGGGGTCTATTGAAGGGTATCGACTGAAGGGTTTGGGCCTTGGGGGCTCTGGGTATTCGTGGGAATTAATGTTTATCGCGACTATATTGACTCGGTTCTATCAGTGTACGAATGACGGGGAAACACCATCACGATCCATTCAGGCTGCTATAGCAGCTAATGACGTCGGTTGTTAGAATGCAGCCGAACACGCGGAATGCTGAAGCTATTGAGCAGGCCGACTTGTTATGTGCTGCTGAAGTGCATGGTTAGTTGCTAGCTGCCTTGCATAGTTGCTTGGCCACTTAAGAAATTGCGCCGTTGCCCTCCAGTTCTAATCAAAATCTGACATTTTGGAGACTAGTTAGCGAGTGGAGCTCTTATCCGTGATGCGATAGTTTATGCGCGACAAGCTGTAGACTTCTTCAGCCCGGCACGCCCTAACAGTGCTGCCTCAAGCCTAAGACCTTCGCATTAAATCCGCAACCCCATAAGGAAACTTCTAATGATTGATGGACATGATGGACATCCGCTTTCACAGCTTCTTTTGCCCATCCTGCCTGCCCCCAAATCATCCCCGAAACGACCAACCTGGAACCACCTGGTTTCCTGCAGGTTCCTCCAAGGGTCGATATTGACTGCACACCTGCATCGACGCCGATGCGCAGACTGAGGCCATTCGGCCCAGCTCCCTAGAGCCTTGAAACAGCAACCCTGAAGCCGAACTCTGAGCAAGATTCCTGAGATCAGGCCCTACGCTCTGAACCCCAAATGCACAGGGTCCAGCATTTGGGCCCTTTTCTTCAGCAGCTAGACTCTCCAAAACCGTGAACCTACCCCTAAACCCTCGGAGTACAACGAAGAACAAAAGGCTTTTCACAATGAAATCAAGACCCGAATCCTAAGCCTTTAAAGAGACGTCAACACGGAAAAAGGGGCCAAGGACCGGGAGCATGGCCGAAGAGAGGTCCATTCAGAGCTCCGGAGTCCGCCCTGCTCCCCCGAGCACTGAGTTTAAGAACCGTTTCACTGTTGTCACAGTCCCGAGGGTCCCAATGCGCAGGGAGTTTCGAGGAAGTGCACTGGTGAAAAATTGTAAAGGCTGATGGAGGTTCCGAGGTTTAGTGGTGGTTGATGTAGTTTTGTCACTTCGGGTTCGGGCTTTACGATGTGCGTTCACATGTCAAGGCCGTGGTTTGTGAACAACTGTAAACCTGTTCTCTGGCGGCAATTCTTCAGTTTGGCATTCTGTGGGGCTTAGTAGAGGTGCCATGACTCCATGACATGTTGATGACCAGTAGCATGTTCCTGACCCAAATCCTTCTTCCGACGATGTCGAGAAGAAGTTCCAACACCCTTAGTTAGCATGGAGCCCCGAAAGAAAATCGTGGAGTTTCCAGCGGTAATCAATCTCAGTCCATGTGCAGCGTCCTGTAGGGTTCATTTGTGTAGGGTCGATCCTCCCTGCAATGATGTCGGAGACTATTGGGAAGCCATTTTCAACTTTCCCATTCAAGAACATGTCAGAATACATGCAGTTTCACTGCCGGCGTCCTCCGAAATCCCCACCACCAAATCCTCAGCTTCGGGGACGGAGTGGCACCAGTCTGGCTGCCCCAAGGGGGTGTGAAAACTTGTGTTTCATAGGGTTTAGCAGCTTTAGCAATTCAGAGCTTGCGGGCCCAGTGTAGAGGGCAACGCTTAAGTCTGTCGGACCAAACAGACCCTAAACCGCCGCCATTGTGGCTGTGAATCCGAAAGTCCTATACAATCAGGAATACCATGTTGCAGACTGTCAACTGAGCAAGATGGGGTTTCGGGCATCAGCTGTGGCGTGTGTTCGTATTTGGATGCATTGTATGTTGTTTTCTTTGTGTGATGTTGCTTGGGAGGGATGTGGGCGATCGGGGACAGTCGGGACGGAGGGGACGCATGATACCCACGATCACACTCGCAAACGCAGGATCCCTTCTCAGGGTCTTTGCACTGTCAGTCAGAGTCCATCACAAAAGCCAGACTGGAAACAGCAGGGTCCGGCCTCTTTCATGGCCCTAGGCGGTGCAAGATGGCGAAGATCCCACTTGCTGAAGTCTTTGGCGATAAACCTGTGAAACCCGGATCATGATCTATGCAGTCTATGCCTGTGAGGAGTAGAAGCCTCTGCGATCCGAGTCCTGACCTGAACCCCTGAGACAGACGAGATTTGAGCTTTTTTGCCTTGAGACCTCTAGAGACAACGGCCGAAGGTCACCGACCCACAGGGGGCCTAGGGTAATATAGGGGCCTTAGTTAGAAGTAACCTAAACTGTTTTGGGGACTCCTGATTCTAATAATGGTACAATATGCCACAAAACACAAATCTAATTATTATTAAGGCCCCCCTTTTAGTCAGTTATCGCTCTTGTTCTTTCTTGCCGACTCGGCAGAAACAGTGGAAAGAAGCATTCTTTATTCTGGCAGATTCTTGGCTATAACACCCAACCCTAATCCCCAGAGCTTAAAGCTCCCCTCTAAGTTAGTTGTGCCAGTACTGTATGCTTGGAGAGCTCTTGGGTGATGAGTTGATTTGGGCGGGAGGGTGTTAGGGTTTCGGGAGCCCCGAACCGCTGCCATAAGCCTTGACCCTCGACCCTAGAAAGCCTAAGCCCGCAATCCTAAACCCTTGATCTCACAACCCTGGACCCGAAACCCTAAACCCCCAAAAAAAACTTCGAACACACAAAGGGAGCTCGCCACCTGCACATGGCCGCAACCCATGAGGAGTTGCAAGTGCAGCGCTTGAAAAAAGTTGCCTGTGTCAGAGATCTGAGCGGGGGTGTGGGGTTTTAGGTTTGGGCTGGCGTTCGAAACCTTTTGCTCAAGTTCTATCGTCGAAACCTATAGAACTGAAACCCATAATTCCATCAGGAGAACTTTCAGGGCGTCGAATCCGAACAGCCGAAAGCAGTTCGACCTTCGTCAGTCATGACTCCACTTATACCATTTGTTGAGTTTCTCCCGCCGCTTGATGTTCAGCACTTCGGATGTTTAGGGCATTCGGGGGGAGCTGTGGGCACAAGGCTGGTGCGTAAACTAGCCTAAACTAGACTCTAAGCCCCCGCAAACACAAGATTCTAAGCCCTAATAAGCCATACAGACTGTGATAGTCGCGAGTTCGATCCACGCTTTGCCAGGCACCGTTCCGAGCAGTGTGCTACGGTTCAAGGTTGATGGGTTGAGGCACCGTCTACGCCCAGATCTGGGACTTGGCCATTTTGCGATCTAGCCCTTCAACCTTAGACAGCATTATCCTTGTGTGAGTGTATAATGAGGTGAAGAGCCATCAGCCTTGTAGCTGGAACCTTTTAAAGTAAGTCCATAATCGCATCCCCAAAAGATTACAATACTGTTGAGCACAGACTCAACAAGAAAGCTACTTTCGATAGTTCCCAAACCGCCCACCCCTCTTAACGTCAAAGCTCGAAATCCCGAGAGGGATCCCAACTCTAGAGACACTCCACCCCACCCCGCTCCCGCACCCTTGCACCATAATAAGGGCAAAATACACACAGCCCAGCGCAGGTCGAGATCCTTCCCGCCGGAGAAAACCTCGACCCTCCTCTCGATCATGAAGATCGTCCTCGAGGTGGGGCTCACGGGGATAAGGGGTCCGGGTGGGGCTTAGGGCACTGCGGCTGTGGCGGGGGAGGAGGGGCCCGACCCGAAACACAGAAGCTGCAGCAGAAAGAGACGGGTGTGCGTAAATGGGCCGGGTCTAATTGTGACTTCTTGGCACCCCGTACAGGCAGCCCCTGAGCCGGATATTCTTCGTTGTTTCTTGGCGGGGATATGCACAACCTACCCTCCTCAAAATTGGGACCAGGGAACTCAGCAAAAAGCTTGTGCCAAAACTCCCTGTGCAGGGCCTTGGGATAGGCTTGTACTCTTGGTGGCCAAGGGGCCTTCAGAAAAACTGCGAGGCAGAACTAAAAGCTCTCAAAGTCCAGACGCCAGCCCGAAATCCCAAACACCGGAAACCTCCAAACCCGAAAACCCTTGTAGAGCCCCTAAACAACCCTTACCGAATTCCATTGCAATCCTCAGAAAGCCCCTAGACTGCTGGGCCCCTTGCCTAAACCAGAGCCCCGAAGTCCTAAAGCCCGGAGGGAGCCTTCGAGACTTCAACCTTCCGCCTTCTCTCAGCTCTTAGAGCCCTACAGAGCCCTCACCCCTACAGACCCTTACAAGCCCTTAAAAACCTGAAGGCAAACGCCCTCCCCAAAGCCCTAAAGATCCGAAACCGAAAGCCCTAACTCCTAAGCCAGAGACGCAAGACCCGAAGCCCTAAAGACCAGGATGCCGTCCGCCTCCGCCTGGACCCCGAGGATGCTTTTGGACTCTTCCAGGCACCGGCCTTTGGGGATTTACTGGCTTTGCGGGTTTGGGGTTGGGAGGAATATGACTATTATGATAGTTAGGCATCTCGCCCCTTTGGGTACTGGGTCCCAAGCCCTAAGCCCTAACATAACCCTCGATTAGCTCCTGTCTTTTCTGTAGGTTTCGTTGAGTTTCCTCAGGCCCCGAGGCTGCGCCTGGGCCTCCTGCTCCTGCGACTCGCATACCTAGCAAGCAACCGGCAAGTAGAGATTTCTAGACCAGAAGTACTGGGAATCATCGGGGGCGTTTAGGGTTTAGGGTTTTTCATGCCCATGCAGACGTTGCTCATCTTGCCTACCAGGCTGGGTGGCAGACGATGGCTCAAGTGTCTTCTGATCTCTCATACGCGAAGCTATCCAAGTTTCCATCAAAAGTCGCCCTACCTGACAAAAGAGGAAGACAAAGCTCTTGGCAGCAGCGGCAGATGGTTTTGTAAAGTTTGGTGAGCTTCTAGCTCCTGATTTGAGTAATGGTTGCCAGCAAGCACCAGCTTTCCTGTGCACC